GCCCCAATGCAGGCTACACATCTCTTATTGGGTCGTCCATGGAAATATGATCATGGAGTTATTCACGATGGGAGACATAATAGCTACCAGTTCAAGCAAGGAGATCGGAAGTTCCCGCTCAAACTATTATCGACGGCTAATGTCCAAGAAGATCAGCAACATATGGAGCTGAATTGGGGCTTGAGCAACCGTTGGAAGTCGGTTAGGGCCGACGCCCATTTTCCACTTATGTACGGTTTCTTGGCCCACAAGTAATGTATCCTCTAAATTTGGGCACGTTTTGACTTATAGAACTCGGGTTGGACATCGTTCAAAGTTGGGATTGCTGCACTACTAGATCTGCTTGTTTTGGCCATAAAGTGTGATGTTCAAATTCGTCTCTTTTTTTAGCCCATGAGCTTATATTCTCGATTTTCTTCTAATTCATTGGTGACCCTTGGTGATCCATATTCGACTTGAGTGCATTATATCCTTTAAAATCATAGAACACCACTGAAAACGTAAAATAGTACAAAAACACACTCAAGGTCTATCATAAGCTCATTATTCAAATAGTTATCAAATCCATATGAAATATAATAGAAAAATATTAATGCATTGATAGAAGCGAAAAAAGTATCAAATATGATAGTGATAAACACTATAAATGAAGCGTCATCAGTGGTTGTAACCAATGAGATCATAATAGTGATATCAAGGATACCACAAACCTATAGTAGTAGTTCCTTTTAAGTATCGGAGTATCTTTTTGACAACAGACAAATAATTCTCTTTGGGTTGTGACTAAAAACATGCACAAAGACAAACACACTATGTTGAATATCAGGACAACTCTAGCAGTTGTATAGAGTGAGGATCCTATCGTGATCGTATACTTTCTTCATCCCACACCTTGCTCGTCAGTATCCAACTTTAAATTCACAGTAGTGGGAGTCGCACCGGAGTTTGTAGTGGACAACTGGACATATCAAATTTTTACACCATATTAAGGATGTACTTAGACTGGTTATGAAAAAATCATGAACAGATTACTTGACTTGCAAACCAAGAAATTAGGATAGCTCACCCATCATACTCATTTCAAGCACTTGTTTCATAGAATTAGAAAAATAGGTGCAAAGATCCGAGTTAGGGGAGCCAAACACAATATCATCAACATACACTTGCACAAGAAGGAACTGTGTTGTGGAGTGTTTAATAACAATGAATAATAAAATAATCCTTGAACAAACTGATTTTCTATGAGAAAAGATTTCAATAGATCAAACCAAGCTTGCAAGACTTGCTCGAATTTGTAAAGAGCTTTGTTAATTTTAAACATGTGATCTAGAAAATTTAAAATGAAAAAAAAACAAAAAGACTGATATAGTCATATTATTGAATGAAGCCATTGAAGAGGCACTCTTCATGTCCATCTGATATAAAGTGAAGTTTATAAAACTAACAAAGTCGCACAACAATCAAATTGATTCGATTCGGGCTACAGAAGTGAGTGTTTCATCATAATTTATACCCTCCTCTTGGCAGTAACCATGTGTAACAAACCTATATTTGTTTCTAATGACAAAACCATCCTTGTTAGTTTTGTCTCTAAAACCAGACTTGGTGCTCAATACATGTCTATTTGTAGGCTAAGAGACAAGCTCCTCAACCTTCTGATGTTCAAACTAAGCCATTACTTCATGCATTGCAAGACCCCATTCATCATGATTAATAGCTAACTTGAAATTATTTGGCTCTACCTTAGAAATAAAAGCATATTGGCAAGGAACATACTTACCTCGGGTTCCCAGACCTTCTGTTTATCTCCATGACTTGCGTCTTGGGTTCCCTTTTCTGTATGTGAGGCAGTGCTCGTGGAATTAGCGGCGATAAATGGTTATGCCATTAACATTTTAACCGCTAACCATACTGCTAACCGACTTTAATGGTTAACCGCTAAGAAGAGTACAAATTGTTTAACAGAATCATAATTTTTTTATTGTGTTACCAACCCATAAACTATTAATAACTGAAGGTTAGCAGTTAATCGATTAATAACCGATAAGCGTCGTTAACCACCCAAAATAGGCAAAATGCCACTCTTAACTAAGAAAATGAGTTCCCACTGACCACTTGGCATTTACTGACTCCAACCTCCTCATCCTCTCTGCTCAAGCGTAGAACGAAGGCAGTCGATTGGGCTATGCCGCTAACCACAAATCCCTAGTCGTCGTGCTATGGACCCTCTCTGGTGGCTTTCTCGGCAGATCGACAGGAGGATGATCGAGAGAGGAAGCAACGGTGGTCGGCCTCGATATTGCCGCCACCATCAACCCTCCTCCTCTATTTTACTTGGAGAGAGAAGAGAGGAGAAGAGGAAGAGATGGTGGCAGCTGCAGTTTGACTGGTCGAGAGTAAAGAGAATAAAGAGTGCTTTTTCTTTTGTTTGTTGGTTCATCTATGGAGTGAATTTGTTTTTCATCTACAAATGAAAAAAGAGAAGGGCAAGATAATGAGAGTGTGGGGCTAGGGTTTCTCCTTCCCATCACTTTCCTTTTATACATTCTCTAAAAATACAATTATGCCTTTTTCGATATGCCTTTTTCTTTTGTATCTGCTTCTCTGGATGTCTGGGAGAATCTATCAGAAGGAAAACTTCTATGATTTTCATAAAAGGAGTTAGATATACCAATTTCAAAAGTTATGAAAAATAGAAATTTGAAAACAATTACTAGGCTCTCCATATCGACGGTTTATGTTTGACTCGCACAAAGCTACACCACGAATAATCTTGACTAGAGCCCAAGTTTTTAAACTCTAGTCGGGTGCAGTATAGGGCAAGTATTTAATTGTCAACCCGGGACGGTCCATGTACCCCTACTTCAATCGCTTAGGTTGTTATCCAACAAAACAATTTTGGGTTTAAAACTAAGAAAACTACAAAATAAACACACAGTAAAGTAAATCGAGAAGAATTCTATATGAGAGGACTTCACTTGGGTATTGCTTCCCCTAGTCTCGTGCTAAGCAGCAATGAACGAAACCCTAGTGTGAAGGATATGTTTATATATCGTGAGGCGGGTGCAACAAGCTAGGAGCAAACCGTCCTAGGTCGATCAATCAAGGATTGCTACAATACGCTAGGGAACCTAGCTCTCTTAACCTCTCGGCTAAATATTGCAACAATAAGCTAGGGTTCCTAGCTCTCTTGTTCGATCAACGACGAAAACCCTAATTCTCTTAGTTAACCAACTAAGGATTGTCATGATAAGTTAGTAGACTAACTCTCTTAACCTTTCGGCCAAGGATTGCGACAATAGGCTAGGCAATCTAACCCTCATAACTAATCAATTAAGGATTGCAAACCAATCCCTCGGAACTTAATCTGGACGACGGAGAGACCAACCATGAAAGAATCATGGAACTACTCCGATACTTGAGGTTTTGGCCCTATATTAACCTAGAAGGGGTTACCCAAGAGGCTAGGAGGTCAAGCTCCCTATGGGACAAAGGGGGATTTCCACCCTCTAGGTCAATTCGACCCAACAATAAGATAATGCAACCAACACTCAATCATTCATGATTAATACCTCAAAAATCATATAAAACACACGATCAACACAATAGAATCATGTTATTACATCCTAATACACATATAGACTAGGATACACAATACCCAAGTGATTAGGTGGGCTATTTCATAGTTAGGCAAAGGAAAACAAGAAAGATGAGAGAAAGAACCATTAAGAGATGGCAATCTTCCTTCCTCCTTGCTTGAATCCCCCTTGAGAGGTAAGAATCTTCACTCCTCTAGTTTAGGGAAAACCCAAATCTCCTTCTTCCTCCTTTGAATGACACTCTCTCTAGAATGGGAAGAGGAAACCCTGATCTCTCACTAGAAACCCTCTTTTATTCTGCACACTAAAAACCTACCAAAAGCTCCATTTCTTCCTCCTTTAAGCTCTCTATTTATACCCAGTCGCGTCCAGTTTACGGTCTCAGTTCACGCCCGTGAACTAATGGCGGGGACCAAGAACTTTGATCAAAACGTGCCGCTTCACTTATGGGGTTCACGGTCCATGGCCCCAGTTCACGGTTTTAGCGACCGTGAACTTCCTTGGCGTTAGTATCCTCTGAAACCCCTATGGACGCTCTTCGGTTCACGGCTTGTGGTTCCATTTCACGATCATGTGTGACCGTGAACTAACTGCTTCGGCGGTGAACTGCAACTGCTTCCTGGACGCCTGCGCTTCACGGTCACGGGGCAATTGTCAGTTGTCACGGTCGCCACTTTGGACTTTTCTTCGATTTCTGCGCTTTTCGACCTCCAATCGTCTCGAAACACGTCATCGACCCTTCCACACGTGCTAGGACCTGAAGTGTATTAAAACAAGCACAACCTAGCGTGAAATATGTCGAGGGACGAAGAAATGCAAAGCCTACTATCAAGAAATGAGGGATAAAATGTGTACAATTGGACCCGAATCACTGTTCTTGTTTGTATTTCATCATACGATGAAATGGTTTGCTTACAAGAGCAATTCTTTCTCGGAATCATTTTCAGAGTTTCTTTTCAGAATCATATTAAAAAACACGTGATTTGAAAGTTAAGTTACTTTTTTTTGGTAGCAAAAGTTAAGTTACTGTTTGTAAGGCGTAAATGTAACATCCCGAAACTTTTCCCAACGAAGATATTGTCCGTTTTGGGCCTCGACCCTCACGGTTTTCGATTTGGAGTGCAATTCAATGTGACTTTCCATAAGATCACCCATCCTTGTTGTACTCCACAAGGAGCACGTTTAACTTTGTAGTTCTCACAAGAACTCTTCCGTTTCACTCCAAAACGCGTCTTATCAGTTAAGGCCGGTTTCCTACTTATGAACTATGGATCTCTCCCGTGCTTTGTCGAAATGAGATTTGCCTAAGGTTAGGACCGTGTTTCTACCCAAAATAATATTCGGCAGTGTTACTGTTATTTAGAAATATTTTGAGCCCAAGCCCAGGCCCAGGACCAAGAGGGAAATCTGAAAATTCTGAATTCCAAGTTTTCTTGTGCAGCGAGTCACCTTCTTCCTGCGGCGATTCTCTCTCCTTCAAATACAAAACTCAAATCCGCTGCTGCAGCAGGTCGTCGAACTTCGAGGTCTGAACTTTGAAACCAGTAGACAACCCTCATAGCTCTCCCAATCGTCAAGGAAATCGATTTCCTTCCCAAGCACAGTCGTTAGTAAGTAACTCATAATGAGCCGAGGAAGTGGAGGCGGCTACGATCGTCACATCACAATCTTCTCGCCGGAAGGTCGTCTCTTCCAAGTCGGTAATGTCTTCAATCTCTCTTCTCCTTGCCTTCTTTTTCGCACCGAAATCAGCCTCTCGTCTTCTGTAAATATCGGGAAACAGCCAGTAACCAGCAAGCATTTCGCATATTAATGATGCTTCTGCCCTTGCTTTGTAGAGTACGCTTTCAAGGCAGTGAAGGCGGCTGCTGTTACATCGATCGGCGTTCGCGGCAAGGATTCCGTCTGCGTTGTCACCCAGAAGAAGGTTCCGGTGAGTCAATTGATTCAGATTTCTCACTACGAGTTTGCTAGGTTTCTCTCTTTTTGTTTTTACGGGTTCAGTTTTGCCCAACTTTTAGAGGGTAATATAGTGCTTTTCCTTTCACCTAATGAACAGGACAAGCTTCTGGATCAGACTAGCGTCACCCACCTTTTCCCTATCACCAAGTACCTTGGGTTGCTGGCGACGGGCATGACAGGTTTGTTGTTCTCTTCTTCTATGTTGTGCACCGATTTTTCCTTTGGTTATTCATTGAGTAGGTTTGCTTTTCAGTAGATAGCATTGAAGTGTGTTAGAGGTGGCTTGTCGATTTACTAGTAACTGATGATTTATAATACATGAACTGGTTGGATAAGTTTCTCATTGTACTGAATTGAGATAGTAGAACTATTGGTCGGTTTTCGAGTTTTGTTGGCGGATTACGTGCTAAGAGGTACCTATGGGACCTGGGTTGAAATGCTTGAAATAATTATCCCTTTGGTGCTATTGTCTAGTATTCTTGTTAATAATTAGTTCTGTTTGGTAAGTACCCTTCTGCCCTAGAAATTGAGCTTTTAATTTGTGAAGTTAATTTTGCTTCTTAAGCAAGCTAATAGATCTTCGACTGTGCTGTTTCTTATTTTATCTATCGTTTCCCTTAACTAGTAACATGAAATTTTGATTCATGTATTATTTAACATCCGTTACTAGGATGAGTCCTGATCCAACATTAAATAGCACTTGAAGTTTAGCCTAAAAGTCACAGATTTGGATTCTTCGAAAACTTAGATTTAGGCAATGTACCTGCATTGTTGCTCAGAATCGCCTAAAGTGTCATTTTACTTAGTGCTCCTTCGTTACTCGCCACCCTCACACCCTTATCATATTATATTTGTCAATCTGAAATTGATGAGGGCTTCCATAAAATTTTCCAGCTGATGCAAGGACATTGGTCCAACAAGCAAGAAATGAAGCTGCTGACTTCCGGTTTAGATATGGCTATGAAATGCCAGTCGATGTATTGTCAAAATGGTAAGGGACTTCACATTGTACTCTATAATGTTGATGGCTCTCCAGTCAGCACTTCGTTAATATGTGTGTTTCTGCGATTCAACTCCAGATGAGAGTTTATTAGTCTTTTTCTTTGCATTGCCATTTAAACAGCTTGTATCCTTTGTCGACTACTGTGTTTCAGTTATTAAGTTAGTTTCCCATGCTTGGAAATGACATTTTCTCTATTGTGTCTAACCCTCTAAATTGTCTTTCTTTGTCCCTTAGGATCTTGGACTTCTACTTGTTCTTTCCTTTCTCAATTGACTTTCTGTCTATTTTCACGTCAACAGGATAGCAGATAAGTCACAGGTTTATACACAACATGCCTACATGAGACCGCTTGGAGTAGGTATGATGCTCATTGCCACTTGTTCTAGAACTTACTCTTTTGATATTTATGCTTGTGTTAAAGAGAGCAAAGCTTTATTTAAGTTTCATGCGGTAATGAAGATAGTTGCATTGACGCTTTGTTCACCTACAGATGTTTTGAGCTAATGTGCTTTCTTAGTTATCTGTTAGCAGTATATCCTCTGGCATTTCTGGGGCCAGCTGTTTGCGTATGATACTCAAACAGTTAGGTCTTCAGTTTGATTGTCGGAAGGGGAAGATTAATGAAGAGAACAAAGCAAAGTAGTATATCTTACCTTCTCTCTCACTCTTTCTCTCTCTTTCGGTGAAGTTGCTATGGTTTTGGGCATCGACGATGAGAAGGGGGCTCAACTTTATAAATGTGACCCAGCTGGACACTTTTTTGGACACAAGGTAACATTTCCTTTGTCCTTAAGTCCTTAACATGTGGTTGTCCTTAACATGTGGTTCGTGTTTATGTCTTCAACTGGTTTTAGTTTTTCCTATGTAGTATCTAGTAAACCAAAATTCCTTGATCATAACACTAAATAAAGTAACCTAGGTACGTAATTTCTCCTTGAATTTTTTTTAAGTCTCAAGGTAGTAAACTACAAACACTGGTTTAGTACCCTTGTGACTTAGGTAACCCCAAGGGATTGAGCCGTTTCACTACGGGAAAGATGAAAAACATGAACCCACACATGACACAAGGTTCACAACTTGCAGCAACCATCATCATTCATTAATGCATATAGTAAAGCAGAGGCATTTGAGAATCATTAAGAATGAAATTGGAACATAGGGGAAAAGAAAACCACTATTATTTGTGTCTACAGTTTATTTGTAGTTCCATGCTTTGTTGATTACATATTACTTGGTGGCCTTAAATTAACGACGTCTTTCAGGCCACAAGTGCTGGGTTGAAAGAACAGGAGGCTATAAATTTTCTGGAGAAGAAAATGAAAAATGATCCTGCATTCTCCTATGATGAAACAGTGCAGGTTTGTCTTCATATTCCAGGAGAAATCCATTAAGAGCTTCCTTCTGCTTGCTGTTTCTTGTATTGTTTTCACAAAAAGGGGGGGGGGGGGGGGGGGGGGGGGGGGGGGGGGGGTGGGGGGGTGGGGAAAGAAATCTTTTTTTTAGTCTACGTCTCCTGTGATACTGCCTTTTATAGTACTCTCCTGATATCGTTGCCTTTTCTTGTTCTCAGACTGCCATATCTGCTTTGCAATCTGTTCTGCAAGAGGACTTTAAGGCCACTGAGATTGAGGTATGGAGTTCCTTTTTGATATATTTGAACTGTCAATGATAAGTGCTTTGAGCATTAGAAAGCAATAGTTGAAGCAAAGACGATGGCATCTCTACTTGCTTTCCTATGTGAACATTGGGAGGTCAAAATACACGTTGGCATTATCGGCTGGGTAAAACAAAAATGCTATGTTGCCTTGATCCTGGCCATTTAGGATTGTACAAGCCATGCATGTTTCTCTCTGTGTTGGTTCTTTTTTCTGGACATATATATATGAGAGTACGCAGACCAGAGCATCAGAGTGGGATTTGTATTAAGAACTAGTTAGCAGCTTCGTTATCCTTTGTGTTGATCTGTATTTTACATTGGCAGGTGGGAGTGGTGAGAGCGGACAATCCAGTTTTCAGGGTTTTGTCTACTGAGGAAATAGATGAACACTTGACTGCCATTAGTGAGCGCGATTGATCAAATGTGGCTGGCTCGCACATGGAATCGCGTCGCTGCTGCCAACGAAACTGATGTGTGAACTTTTGGAAGTCCGTCCTCAACTATATATGAATCTGTGTTGTTTAGAACTGGCGGGAGGGAGATTCACGAAGGAGACTTGACTCTGCTTGCTGTTTCTTTGAATTGTGTTATCATTATGTGATAGTCCTTTGAATTATTCTTGAAACAATTAGTCACCCTGTCCACCAAACTTTGCTTTTTATCTTCCAAATGCGTTCGTTTGATAGAATGCCTCGCGCTGCAATAATGCTTTATTTCTAGCGAAGAAACCGTTCGGAGGAGAGAGCGTCAGATTTTAGCCTTTGGCAACTAGCGAAGCGATCGGGTGTATGTGGGTCTGGGTCGGTTGGGTTTGGATTTAATCATTTTTAAGACATTACCAATCAGTAGGGTTGATAATTGGTTCGGTTATAATTGGAACTGTTTAGTTGGTTCTTGGTTAATTGTTATTAATTTTGTGCTTATCATTAATCGCACTGTTTAAATTAGTCGGTTGACTGTAACCGTATTGTCGATTCTCGGTTACTTGGTCGGTTAACCGAATAACTATTACCCAAGTGATTCGGTAAGGTTATACCAAAATAATCGATCGATAACCTAACCAACAGAAGACCTCCTTTTTCAATTTGTGAAATTTTCCATAATTTTTCATACATACATACACATGTGTTCTTTTCTTAAATTGTTATCGTTGAATAAAAAATAATTTAACATAGATATATATCCATACATAATCAACACAATCCAACATAAGTACACAATAATACCATTCTACCGTCAAACTTGATTAAAAAAAACATACAACGATAAGTGACCCAACAACAATTAGTCAACTCGTAAACCCCACCAAATTGCATGGAAACTTAATGTTACTGATTGTTATCTAGCAACTCTGCGCAAGCCTGACTTTCTACTGTGTTCTTTCTAAAACGGTTCCTTTAAATTATTCTCATTTGAGTCTAAGTCACTAGTACAACTTGGATATGAAAGAGGTCTTGTAAGCATTCAAACACCCCATTATTTTCGGCCTATGTTTGCAACTCATGGAGTTCTATTATTTTTTACTCTAACTATGAGGATGGTCGTAATCGATTAGTCGGTTAACTGTTTAACCGTTGATTATTAATCATTTAACCATTAATTAGTTATTAGCTTAATTCGGCTACCCGAAACCGACCATTTACTATTTAATTGATTATCGATGTAACCGTTAAGTACCGGTTCTTGTTCGATTATCGATTACACCGTTAACGGAATAACCCAACCCTACCAATCAGTCATGGGTAGAATGATGACAGATCAAAGCACGTTCATTAATTTTAATACCAAACCCATACCAATTTTTTGTGTCATAAATTTATACTTTAAATAATATAAAACATAGAATGATACATGGAGGGAGGTGGAAGGGAGTGGGGTCCTAGGATCCCACTTGGATAAATTAAAATGGTTATATGTATGTACATACTTGTTTAATTTGGGTAGATTTAGAATTTAGAACTCTATTCATATAGAATTTAATTGTTCTAATATTATGAAACACGCAAATAAATTAGACAATTTTGGTCATATATCATAAAAAATTCCCAATTTTATAGTCCTTATTCTAAAATTTTCTAATTCTACTAAATATGTGTACAAAACTCTCCAGCTATATCTAAAAAGCTCTTACTTCAACAATTTTTTCCTATCAAAATATAATTTCTTTGTCATCAAATGTGTTTCATAAAACGTTTATGTGTATTAGATTTTGCTTGGGAACTATTTACTTTAGCTAGTTATTGAAATGTCATTTTTCAATTACTGAGTTACACAAAATGTAAGCTACAAATCTAATAACTAATGGTTTGATGAATGACTACTTGAATGAATATTTTTAAGAAACTTTACTTGATAATTGAATATAATATTATAAGATTTTCCATAAATGGGACCCACTAAACTCGAACCCTGACTACGCCATTACATGCACTATATTATATGAAACGACAAAACAAATGAGATATTCTAGTGGCAGAATGTTTTTCATATTAATACATTGTAATAAAAACAATTTAATATAAAGAGGGGGGGGGGGAAAGAAATGTATATATATGTTGGAAATACTTGGTAAATAATGTATTTACATTTCATAAACTCTAACTATGTAAACAAACCACAAGAGTAACAATTGAACTAAGAGATTTGTAGTTGAATGAATATATTCATAAATATATAAGATAATGATAATGTAGTATCATGAGTGGATTTGAGCATTCTCATATTGGATTTTCTTGAATATTATGGATGGGTTAGTATGGGATGGACGGTTGAGTCAGTTTTCGATTTGATTTGTTCACCATTAGCCAACTGTCCATTCGGCTTTTTGCCTCAAAACATTATATGGCAATTAATTTCCCCCAAAATATATCATGAATTGATATAATTTTATTGGGGAGATACAGTCATTGTTATATAAGAATCGAACCGGATTAATAATGGGTTAGTACAACCTATAAACCAGCTACGATAGCGGTTCAATCCATTGTTTGGACGGTTATTAATGGACCTAACGATTTTTCAAGGCTCAACATAAAATCAGATGAACTTGAACGGTTATGGAATGCCTCTAACTTTTTTTCTCAATTAATTTTGACGTGCTATTTCTCTTTTGTTTTAAATCGTAATTTTTCCTTCACAAAAAAAAATCATATTAATTGTACTCTTAAAAATGACATTCACTTTGATATATTTTGGAACAAAAATATTGACACATTTATTACTAGTGATAATACTTGGTAGTACATAAGATTATACCACGTGATATGGAAGTGTATCATGGTTGTATAAAACATATCTGAGTGTAGAATGGTAGCATACGTGATATTAGAAATGGGTTAATACCTTCTTTTGGCCCGAACTATTCCCAAACTTTCTACTTTGGCCCGTGGTTTCTGAAATTGCTCCTCTGGACCGCTATGCATCATACTTCATTGTTTGGCGCGACGCGGGTTTTGACAGTCAAATTGGATGGTCAACTCCATTGATCGTTAGTTAAACGCCATGTCACTTGCCATGTCAGCAAACCTGAAATAAAAACTTTGGATTTTGAAATTATTTTGCCATCCAAAATTTTGAATTATTATTATTTTTATTAGAAAACAAAATGAATTAAATAAATTAAAAAAACCAAAATTTTTATTTCGGGTTCACTGACGTGGTAAGTGTCCTGGTGCTTTGACTAACGGTCAATGGAGTTGACTGTCCAATTTGACGGTCAAAACCCGCGTCGGGCCAAACAAGGAAATATGGTGCATAGTTTGGGCCAGAGAAGCAATTTCAAAAATGACGGGTCAAAGTAGAAAGTTTGCGTATAGTTCGGGTCAAAATAAAGTATTAACCCTATTAGAAATATACTAACCATGATTCATCACATTTCATTATCGTCTACCACCAATTACTACCCTATACCAGGGTGGTATATGGTGGTATCTTTTGTCTTGAAATCTTTTCCCCCGGAAATTTGTAGATCTAATAAAGCACGATGAACTCGTTCATCATGGACAACATTTTTCAAAATTTGAGTTCAAAGCGAAGGTGGTACCAACGGTCAATGGAGTTGACTGTCCAATTTGACGGTCAAAACCCTCGTCGGGCCAAACAAGGAAATATGGTGCATAGTTTGGGCCAGAGAAGCAATTTCAAAAATCACGGGCCAAAGTAGAAAGTTTGCGTATAGTTCGGGTCAAAATAAAGTATTAACCCTATTAGAAATATACTAACCATGATTCATCACATTTCATTATCGTCTACCACCAATTACCACCCTATACCAGGGTGGTATATGGTGGTATTTTTTGTCTTGAAATCTTTCCCCCCGGAAATTTGTAGATCTAATAAAGCACGATGAACTCGTTCATCATGGACAACATTTTTCAAAATTTGAGTTCAAAGTGAAGGTGGTACCAACGGTCAATGGAGTTGACTGTCCAATTTGACGGTCAAAACCCTCGTCGGGCCAAACAAGGAAATATGGTGCATAGTTTGGGCCAGAGAAGCAATTTCAAAAATCACGGGCCAAAGTAGAAAGTTTGCGTATAGTTCGGGTCAAAATAAAGTATTAACCCTATTAGAAATATACTAACCATGATTCATCACATTTCATTATCGTCTATCACCAATTACCACCCTATACCAGGGTGGTATATGATGGTATTTTTTGTCTTGAAATCTTTTCCCCCAGAAATTTGTAGATCTAATAAAGCACGATGAACTCGTTCATCATGGACAACATTTTTTAAAATTTGAGTTCAAAGCGAAGGTGGTACCAAGTGATACCATTTGGTACCATGGTAGTAACGAGTGGTATGAAAAAATTTCTGAAAATATATTGAAAATTGATATATTTTTGTAGGACACAATAGACTCATTCCATCTATGAAAAAAAATTAATCCAAGTTAGAATGAAAAATATAGAAACCAATTAATAAAAGTAGAAAAAATGAAAAATCAATAAGTTCTCATCACTTAGATCTAGCACTGCTTAAAACAAAAAGTCTAGACCTAGTTATTCACTCTATTCTGGACCATTTTATAGACACAATGAACTCATTTCTTTTATAAAACAAAATTTAAAATTCAAGTTAAAATGAAGGTGGTAAAATATGGTAAGGAGTAGTCTAGATTTTTTTTTTTTTTTTCTATCGATAATCCTTTCCAAAATATATAGAAAATGCAAATCATTTGTAGATAATAATAAACTCGTCCTTGTTGTTTGAAAATTCCCAAAATTCGATTTAAATGAAAACGATATAGTTCAATTAAGAAAATAGGTATCTCAATCATCATTTTTCCCCACTTGAAACGCCGTAATCAGATCTGATTCTGCTTTTTTATTAATGTTATGCTCCTATTTATAATAAAAGAAATGTTATGCATTTCATCCTACACCAGACTTTGAAGTTACTGTCACTCTGTCAGTATGAACCAAGGAAAGATAGACCCAAAGTTAAGTATGCATCCATACAACTCCCAACCTTGATAAATGAGAGCTTGGGATCTTGACATCCCCTCAATGATGAAAGGAAGAAAGAACAAAAGTAGAGCAGATTATGCTTTGGAGGAAGAACATATGACGAGAATTAGAAGGATTCATGATTAACCCTATACCAAGCACAAATTGTCCAAGGAAAAACGTAACAAGGCCTGTATAGTAAAACAACCAAAACGATTCCTCCTAACCCCTTGAAGCCAGCAGTCTCCCCTTCCCTCTTCTTATCTGTGAACACCATATCTCTGCTGGGGTGTGGGAGAGCCATAGGTTTCCTCCAAGCTTCGCTTTGAATCATCATTTTCGCCGAGTCACTCATGTTCCGGATAGAGGCAACTTGCCAATGAACTTTCCAGTCAGGCTGCCCAGGTAGAGATGTCCTTCAAACTCGAAAGCAGCGGTCACGAAACTGATCACTTCTCCACTAGGGTCATCAAGCATCCTGATGATGCTTCCATCTGCTCCCACATTCACAACTCTAGCCTTTGTGAAAAGCACCCTCGACAGGAAATCCTGCAGCTTTGGAGACCATGCTACCAAGTGTTTGAGCAGCTTTGAAGCATGCAGAAACCCTTGGCCTTCAGAGACTATCTGTGCACCCAGCAAAAAACACCAAAACGATAAGAAAAGTTGCTCGGAGATGCCTCATCGGACATATCTGCCTATATCTAAACTAACCTGTATTAGACCGATCCAGAACGACCCATCAGGAGCCAAATGTATGTTGTCAGGTCCCCCAGGGAGGTTCTCCACGAATATTTCAGTCTTGCCTTTCTTCTCCCCAGTTAACCAGTGCTTCTGGCATCTAAACCTGGCAGACCCAAAACCAATTTTGTTCATAGAGATATCATCAGCAGTATCTAATTACACTAGTAGTGGCTACATGTTTCCGTCTTTCAATCAAACAAGTGTCCCCATACTGTACAACAGACATTCATCACAATACTTACTTCCATGTCTCGCAGAACACGAGATAGTCTTCTTCTTTGGGAAGTGCAACCCCGTTGGGGAAACAAAGATTGTCGAGAAGAACGGTTGTCTGATTGGTAGATGGATCGTACTTGAGAATCTGGCCATTTGGTTTTGCCTCCAGAATGTCATGATACCAGTTGTGGTACCCAAATTTGGTGGATGGAATACTTAGATACACGGTCCCGTCTGAAGATTCCACCAATTCTTCTGCAAATCTGACCACCGTGATCATCATCCAAAGGAGCTATTCATGTTATACTACATTCACATATCAAATGATGCACTGCATATATGCGGGTTAATAAACATCAGCTTGCTGAAGCAGCTTCGTAACCGATGTTAGCAATTACGAGATTTCGGAAGCTTCATCCACTTCACTAGGCTTCTATGAAGCAGTTAGTAACTCTGTAAACTAGTCCAAAAAGTAGAATTCAATCATAGAAAGAAACTACTAATTGCTAGCATTCTGTCTAGTATAACGATTTACACCATAACAATATACAAAGCCATAGAGATATGGAGACATTGCAGTCTAACAAGTGTCACCTTATTTCGGCTCCATTGATGTGCGATGCAAGGACAGTAGGGCCATCTTCATCAGTAACCTTGAGCAAACCCTACAAGTAAGTACAAACCGCACATCCATGAACATAACAATAAGCGAGTCGCCAAAGGGCGCTCTTTAAGGTGTCCTGTGACAAGTAGATACAGCTAACTAACTGTGTGTATAGAGAATGGGTGAGTAAGGGTTTACCAATTCAGCATCGGCGATGAGAACTCCACCATCCTTGGAAGGCGTGATACCAAGGCCAGCGGAGCTGTCGATCCTCATCCAGTTCTCGAAGGAGCCATCTCCATGGATTCTCATTCTTTTGATCCAACCATCTCTGGTCACTGTGTACAGAACTCCATCCTTGTCCACGAAAAGATCCTCTGGCCCATCAATCACTCCTTCCCCTATTTTGCTCACCTTCTACGAGATTCGGCCAAGGTTGCCAAAGATGGAAACTTTAAGCATTAATGACAATAACCCACTAATAGGAAAGAAGATCCCTTGTTCGGTTGTTGTACAAATTATTACATCGTAAAGACAGAGAAAGAGAGAGAAAGAGTGTAGTTACCTGTAATTCGTTGTTCGGTTGAGGGCCAGAGAGAGAAGGGAGGTGGAGTGCGTCGGGAGAAATTGGGGAGGTGAAGAAGACCTGAAGGGTAAATGCCACCAAACAAGCCACGAGAAAGCCGGCGAATGCTGCTATAACATTCATGGCGGCTGCGGCTGCTGCTGCTGCTGAAGCTCTGCAACTCTACTTGATTCCAGCAGAGAGCATAAATGTAGGGCTTGGAGATGGGGAATGGATGGCTCGGGGATGTGGAGAATGGAGAATGGTCCTCTCCTCTCCTCTCCCTCGTGGCAAACTACTTGAGAAAGTCTCCCAACCCAACTTTTCTTGTCGGCAAGGTTGTCAACCTGCGGGTTTATCCGAATTCGGTCGAGCTAGTGGGTCAAGTGGGTCGATCCGTGGGTTGACAACTTTGCTAATCGGTAATTCAGATCCAACTTTTAGAAATTCTAGGTGTCGTTTTAGGTTTGCTGGCTTGGTATTTTTTACCTTTGAATAGCCGGCCTGGCCATGGGCCGTGGTGGCGATGACGAGACACGATCTTGGTTTGTGAAATCATAGTGAAGGTCGTTTGTACTAGTCAGTCCAATATATGTGGTTCAACGGTTTTGTATTGGTAAAATATTTTTCGCATCGGTAAAATTAGGATATCGTTTAGGAGTAATATCGAAATAAAATTAAAATGTAGAGAATAATAAGTCTGAATAAGGTAAAAAGACATATATAGGTAACATAACAGTCAACAAAGTGAGTCGTTACAATATTTGATCAACTACATAATCGTCCAAAATGCATGTTTTAGAAACAAATACAAACTACAAAACGACCAAATAATATTCACAAACCACAAGTTCACAACTACTAAACTCAAATTTCTTTATAATACAAACTGAAATATTACTTTTAATAATATATTAAAAGTTTAATTTGTTTCTCAAAGCATCAATACTTTCCTGTATACTACAAGGCTCAATAAAAAAAATTCAAAAGTTCCCTCCTTAAATCATGAGAAGAGTTGGGTGGGAGCAAGGTTGTCAAATCGGTTTATACCGTTGTGCCGGTTTAGCAAGTGAAATGGTTCTATCGGTGGTACAACCGGTTTGTGCCGGTTAATAATATATGTAGAAATGTAAAAACCAATAGTGTCAAATGAATTTAATCATATATAAACCATATTTGAAGACAATTACGTACAATTCATATTGATATTAAAATAAAATGTTATATTTTCAATAAAATTACATGTACTTATATTTAAATTCACTAAAATGATATTATTATACATAAAAACTCGCAGATCAATCATTCCGATCATACCAATAATGTCATGTCGGTTTCATGACCGAAACAGGTTGAACCTGGTTGAGTTCAACCGGTGTCATGCCGGCCGTCATGACAATCATGTGTGGGAGGCAAGGATTAGCCGCATCGATTAAAATTTTGAATGCTCTGAATCAAATTGTCGCTCGGCTTCTCTTGCCTGTTGCCGTAGTTTATTCTCCATTCTTCTGCCACGTCATTTTTCCTTTTCATTTGGACACCTGTATTCAACGCGACAACAAGATTCGGTCAATCCGATCGACATAGGCGCCACAGATAGTCAGATATACATACATGAATCATGATACATGTGCTACTTCAGACAATCTTAAACTACACTGCACTTTAGGAAAGAGATTCGTTCTTTGCTGTTGGCACTTGGCACCACTCAAAGAAAATAAAAAAAATTTACTATGTAAGTTGAAGTCTTTTAGGAAATTTGAAATGGATTAAACATAATTAGCATTGGGTTAATTTTGTTGCGCATTGAGTTTGTAACTCCTATTAGTCCTATATAAGGAGGTTAGTTCTACAATAGTTCTGATCAAATCAGATTTCAACAATTGTTTTCTCCCAAGAGATGCTCGTTGTAATTTTTTTAGACTTATCAATTTTTGGTTGTGGCGCAAGACCACCAAGCATGATTGTGAAACCTGTAGAGTGCTGGTCGGCTGAACCTGGAGCATCAACACCACTGGTAGGACAGACATAATCAATTTACAAACTCTAAACAAAAAATGACGTTGTTTTAGTGAATTCAATTAATAAAAAATTTAATTAATTAATTAATTAATAATTAATACCTTATTTTGGTCCGTACTATACTCAAACTTTCTACTTTAACCTGTGGTTTCTGAAATTGCTCACCTGGCCTGAGCTATGCACCATACTTCCTTACTTGGCCCGACAAGGGTTTTGACCGTCAGATTGGACGATCAACTCCATTGATCGTTAGTCAAGCACCAAGTCACTTGCCACATAAGCAAACCCGAAAATAAAATTTTATGAATTTCTGTGATTATTTCCGTTATCTAATAATAATACAAATTATCGAAAAAGAAAATAATAATCCTCATTTCACAATGACCTCCACAGTTCGCCTACTACAGGAGAGGGATTGGGAAGTCTCACTAGTTCACGTGTTCAGGGAAGCAAACTTTGTGGCGGATTAATTGGCTTCAGTTGTCACACCTTTCCTATCGGAGTGCATGTTTTCGATATCCCTAGCCCTACTTTGAATTATTGGTTGTACTTTGACTCTATTGGTGTCCAAACCCCACGTTTCATTAATATTTAAGGGATAGAGCGCCCCTCTGCGCTCTATTTTTCACCAAAAAAATAATAATAATAATTAAAGAAAACTTATGGCTCCCCGACACCTAATTTTATCCCCTCCCCTCTCTCCCCAATCGGGGAAAATCTCGGGAGTAATCAGTACTCAGTAGGGGTGGGCATTGGGTGGGTCGGGTGGATTTTGACCATAAAATGCACCCACCCGTGCTTAAACGGATTGATAATTTTTAACCCACCACCCACCCACATTTAGTCTCGGGTTGGGTCGGGCGGATGGTGGATGATGCGGGTGGGTTTGTGGGTTCACCCACATCACAATGTATATAATATAAAGGAGTCAACTTGACATGATAATAGGTGAAGAGAATTATCGAGGGAAACAAGAAGTTGAAATAGGGCGAAAAATGCCGAATTAGTTCTTAAATTGGATAGAAATTCTATTATGAAAGAGTTTTCTACAGATTGAGACGATTATTAGGTGCAAGGAACTAAGGAAAATAATTCCACAAAGGAAAGAGCGGTGATCTAGGCTCAAGAATTAGAGGAAAAAGTAAAAGGAAGAAGAGGGGATCTCTATTTGGAAGGTTGATTTTGAGGTTCAAACTCCAGGAGCAGTACGAGTTTATATCTAACGTCTTCATTCTCCTCTCTCTAGCACCAACGACTTTGATCTTTTTGCTGTTGGGTTGAGCGGGTCACCCGCACATTCACCCACAACCCACCCACCACCCGGTGGATGGCTCCCAACGCAACCCGTCACCCACCCACAGACCCACCCACTTAACGAAATTCGGGTCAAATGCGGGTGGGTCGGCCCAAACCCACGGATGATCCGCCCGCATGCCCAGCCCTAGTACTCAGCACAACCGTCTTCACTCAATGCAACTAGACTAAAAACATAAATATCCAAATTGTTCTTATAGAATTATAAATAAATAAATAAGATAAGCAAGATGTATTCAAAGAAACACCTACACTGCATGTCATTCCGTCTTACTAATGATAACCACCTGCAGGGAAAAATTGAAATTTTTTATCATAATCAAACCGGCACCTAAGGGCCTGTTTACTTTCATTTCTGTTTCCTGTTTTTGAGAAAACAGATGTTGAAAACAGGTGAAAACAACATTTTTTCGTTTCCAAAAACAGCAGGAAGTTGCCACTTTCTGTTTTCATAGTTGGAAACGAATAGAAAACGGAATGAAAAGTAAACAAGTTTTCTCATTTCGGTTGCCAAATTTATGACATGAAAACAGAAAACAGGAAACGAAAATGAAAGTGAACAGGGCCTAATATATTGAGTCGTTAAGTAACAAAGTTGTAAAGAGGCTAAGTTGGTTAGGCTACCCACAAAACGATAAACATCCCCTAATATATAAAGATAGAGAAATGCATCTAATGGGAATATAGAAAGAAAAAACATGGATTTTCTAGTACATATTCTTAATGCTACAATACCCACAACAACAAAAAAATTATGACACACTATGCATAAAGATAGGCTAAAGAGAAAGAAAGGAGTAGCAGAAAGAGAGATGAAACAAAATTCAAGAAATCTCACAAAGAAAAAAAAAAGAAACAGTAAGAGAAACTCACCAAAATATCACAACTAGGACATGTCAACTTCAACAACTTCTTTTTTGGTTAGAGCCTACAAAGAAACAAAATATATACAGTTAAACCACATAATTCATAGGAATTAAATGGAAACGAAAAATAATATAAAATCACCTTAACACTCTTAATATTTTCTTAACCAATCTTGAGAACAAAGTAGAGCTTGAACAGTCTTTTTCCCCAATGATGCACGATTTGGATCAATCACTCTTCCACCGGCACTAAAAGGAGCTTCTGAGGCAACTGAGGTTATAGGAATTGTCAAAACATCACAAGCCATCCTAGATAAAACCTTATACTCCTATGTTGCTCCTTCCACCACTCAACAACATTAAGATCACAATTCGACAGATCAATGTAATGATCATCCTCAAGATAAACATCCAACTCAGATTTCATTAATGTAACACAATCAACATTTCGAATAAGGGAGTCAAACTTTGCCCTTCCCATTCTCTTCCTTCCTATCCCACTTGAAGTAGAAGAAGAGGAAATTGTCTCACTTTTCACCTTCAACTTCAACTGAGTTCCCAACGTTCTGACCTTTATACTCTTCAAGATACTCATGAAACAATTGGTAAAGGTTTCCACGAACTAGTGTAATCTGCTTCTTTGCAGCTTCAGCTCCATTGTAAAGGTTAGATAATACACTTCAAGCATCTTAAACTTGTTTCTTGGGTTCAGAATAGAAGCAATCGAAATGAGCATGTTAGACTCCCCCCAATATTTCTCAAAATTTTCCAGCATATCAAAGGTCATAGACTGCATATTTTCATTCTCTGAAACTGAAGTCTCATCCAGCAACCTCTTAATATCCCAAATTTCAGGAAGAAATAAATTAGCAGTTGGATAGTCACTTGCAGAAATATGTATTGTGACATCATTAAAAAACTGAAGGCAGTGACAAACATCTGAAACCAATAGTCGTTGTTCCTCTGAAGGCAACCAAACATATGATGCATCTCTATTAGTATATCAAGCCAACACAACTTTCACATCAATGGTAGTAGAAATCATCTTATATGTAGAATTCTGCGAGTAGGACAATCTAATATATGCTTCTTTGTAGACAGCTTCAATTGTTTAGCAATATCCCGAAATATATTGTTTCAACTCTAAAGCAGCAATGTACTAATTTTTGT